ATGAAAGATTTAACTAGTAACTGAGGAAAATGCCAACTGAAGTCACAATGAAACATCATTTCACACCCATCTATTAATAATTCACAAAAATTTACAGCCAGTTGGAAGAGCAAGTTGGGAATGTCTAGTAAGGTAAAGTGTGCTTACGCTGTGACATGCAGCTAAATAACTAACACGCTGGCCACGATGCAGAATGATCCACTGCGGTGTTGGTGACACAGAGACCCTGGAAACGACTTTCTGCCCTCAACTGAGAACAGACAAATTATGGTAGTTCACATAACTGACGACTACTGCACAGTACTAAAATTAATGAGAGCGACACATACAAGACAGATGAATCACACGATAATGAGTGAAAACAGAAACCTGCAGAAGGAGAAAGTATATGGTTTAAAAATATGCAAAACAAGACTGAAGACTAGAGGGCCTATGGTGATTTTATGCATACAGCGCAAGTATCACAACACGCACGGAAGTGATGAACATCAAATTCTGGGTGGTGGTTACCTCTGCAGAGGGAGGAGAGGGAATGTGATCTGGAGGTGGTGACATGTTAAGATACGACAAAAGCAGGTGCCAGGTACTTGGATATTCACGTAGCTCCCACACTGCACTCGGAACAGTGCATACAGCTCACCTCGCTAGTGTGGAAGGCTGCTTCAGTGGCGAATTTCAGAGTCCCGTGGGCCAGGTGCCATACTGGGAACGTGAGATTCAGGTAGGAACGAGGCGTGGCACCTGCCCGCAAGAAGACAACCTCAAGGAAGCAGCCCTGGGTTCTGATTACCTGTGCCACTGTGGCTAAGGAAACGTGTTCTTGAACCCACAGGCCCGAGGTCGGCACCAGAGAAGCCTCACTCGCCACGCCCCGCTTCTTCCGCCCTTCCTGTACAGAGTGACGACAACGGGGAGAGGACCCGTGACAAGGAACGCGGCGTAGGACAGGGCACCTTCCACACAAGTGCAGAAATTACTTTTATTATATAAAATATTCCTTTATGTGCTAGCAATGATTATGTGAAGGAGAGTGCAGAGAACAGATTTACGCCTGACATTAGTCTCGGCCTCGATTACAGACATTTACGAATCACACACAGCACGATGCCGAGAGGAGCTGCTGAGGGTCTAGGAGGCCGTGAACG